CCAGTCTAAATTTCAGTGGGTTTAAACTGGAATACCTGTGCAGAATTGCACTATTAGCAGAAAGTCTATGTTTTCTATTTAATCCATGATGCTGTTGGTATTAAATAACAGTATATAAAAAACAAATGGCAACACAGGGATAAGAACAGAAAAACAACACCAATCAAACCATGAAGGAAACCGTATATACTATAATAGTCTCATAGAAAATATGCACAAATCTCACAATGAAATCCAAAATAATGCAAATATATTCAAGGTCATTTTATAAGCAGTTTGTTTCAAAAATGTTACTATAAGTAGTCCATCTCATAAATAAAGTCCAACTTGAACAGAGGTCCTCTTTCTTATGAATATAAAGATAATGTGTTGAATGCTGTAGTAGTCATCATTCACTAGTTTCAAGAGTCATTATTAAAGCATGAGGGCCATTCCACAAAATTATTTCACGAAGGCCAAAAGTTTTTTTTAAATCATCCAAGTTCATCAACAAAGGTCTGGGTATCCTCTGTTTCAAAAGAAATCTTTCTCAAGATGTGTTCTCAAATCAGGTTGTCCTAGTTAAACATCTGTAAAGCATCATCAAACACACTGTATTTGAATATATCTACAATCTTTATACATTTCTAATGAGGGAGAGAATCAACAACACTTACCCATATTATAAATCCATCATTCTTATCAATGTTAACATTAAACAGCAGTTCTTTCTCCTGATTTACATTGTTCTGGGGGTAAAGTTACCCTATAGCCATGATTATAAAAGTGCTCTTGTGACATATCTACCTTATCCAGGTGTAGCTCATTAGCAGTACACAACCCCATTTTGTTACTAGTTTGAAAGTAATATTTAAAGGGGACAATACCCAAAAGAAGCAAAGTGGGTTCTAGCTAATAAGAAGAAAAATTAATTACAGAAAAAAAGATAAGTCATTATGTTGGTTCAGGCCATGTGGTTCGAGTGTTCTGAAATGTTGAACGAGTCTGACTTAATGTTATAAAAGAAGTCTCAGAGTCAATCTGATAAGTTTAAAAATATCACTCTCGTCCGGAAGGAGTCATACTTTGGTACTGGAACTTAACTAAGTCCCAAATTAAGGACCTTATGTTTCAAAGGACTGAGTATCCTATCTGAAAGATTAAAGACTATAGTTTCCGTTTGCCCCTCCTTCCTGGGCGGTATCCAAAAAAAAATTGTTCAGAGACCTTCCTTTTTGCAGATCTATCTAAAGAACTGGAAGAAGTGCCCTCATCCCCTGAGGCACTTCCCCTGTATTCTGTCTCATCTGTATCACACTCAGAGGATGAATATGTAGTGTCCGCCCATCGCACCATTTTTTTTTTAAATTTCTTGTTTAAAGCCAAAAAAAAATAACCTGGCCGATGAATAATCCTATGTGTCTCTGTCGTATTTTCTTATCTTAATTTCCCTGATCTTATCTTCTAGTTGTTTTACTGATGTTTCTACCGCTATCATCATATCTTCAAATTCTCTAGCTGCGATACTGGATCTTATGTTATTCTCCAGTTCACCAGTCTCCGTTGTTAAACTCTCAATTTCCTTATTAGGTCTTTCTGTTAACAAAAGCATAAGATCTAACGCAGATTTATTCATGATTTCCATCCACTTAGATCTAAAATCTTCATCTTCCCCAAACATTTGAAGAAGATTAACGTTTATTCTGGTAATGTGTGTGAACGTATGCAGGAGAGGGTTTAGGGAACCGTGCCATTGTTTGTTAGATTTTTATTAGCTGCAGTGTTCACCAGGTTCTGTTTTACCAACAATGTTAATATTTCTCTTGAGTATCCAGGTTTCTCAGTCTTTGACTTTTTCCCTCACAGTGTACCAAAGCCACGCTCTGAAGTCTAGTAAAACATAGTAAAACATAGCTTGCTCTTCCTTTCTACTTAATTGTTCCCTTGACTGTAATTAAAGTTGAATTGACAAATGGACCAGTCACTAACAATATGTTCCCATAATTTTCTCTATTGTAAAGGGTTTCAGTTCTCACCAGACTTACTAGGTTACTGGTTAGGTTACATGAATTTAAGGATTGTGCTTCTCACATACTGTTTCTTCTGTGATAAGGTGTGTGGAAAAAAGATATTTTTCTACAGAAATTTTCTCACTTTCATTGATGTAATTCCCAGTGCAAATAAAATATTTACCTTCCGAGCTGTATTGATTGCTAAAAGTAACCAAATGTTTTTGTTTCTTTTATTTTGTCCTGTCAGTACTTGTCAAGCTAAACTAGGGTCTAGGACAGTAATGAAGAATGTAGCTTCTGGTTATTTCTGAAGTGGGAAGAGAATGGATTTTGATTTTCCTTTTAGCTTGTCAAAAACTGATCTGAGGTTAGAAAAATCTTGTAGGTTGCTAGCAACAGAGATGGGCATGTGACACAGTCTAATCCTGTTTTATCTTCTTTTTTGTTTTACAATGGGGTGAGGTGGAACATTTGGAATCTCAATGTGGCCAAGAAGGTGCTAATGTAAATTTGAGTAAGCACCATTTCTGGGTTAGAGTCAGTCTATTTGGACCTGCTTCATGCTAAATGTCCTCTCTCATAAGCTCATGGTTGGTTCTTGCAGTCGTCAGATTTGTGCTAATATGAGATGCTTTTCAGAGCCTTGTAGGAACATGATACAATAACTTTTCTGTGCTTGCAGAGGACAACTCCTTTCATACTTCTTAATTGCTCTTTTCACAAAAAAGGCATAAACAACAAGCCAGCACACACCAAAAGGGAAGCCTAAGACTTACTGAGTGACAACCTGATTTTACTACAGCCACCAAAAATTAGGCACACAGAAACTTATTTCATCTCTTAGTAATCAAGAAATCTTAGCTTCTAGAGCAGGGGTGTCAAATATGCAGCCTGTGGGCCAGATCAGGTCCTTGGAGGGCTCCTATTCAGCCTGCAAGGGACTGGCTGTCTCCTGCTTCTTTCTTCAGTTCCGCTGCTGCTGCTTGCTTTGCCAAACTCAATCGCACAGGAGAGATAGATAAGCAATTTCCCTGCACAGGGGAGGGAGGGAATGAGCCAGAGCTTGCTTTTTGGCCAGGCTGCCTCAGTTGCACAGGAAACAAAGGCAAGCCTTTCTTCCCCTCTATTGGCTGAAGCTCCTCACCTTCCTCCTGCCTTGCTTTGCTCAGCTGCCTCAATTGCACAGGAGAAATACAAAGCACCTTTAAGATGAACAAAGTTTTATTTAAAGTATAAGCTTTTGTGTGTCTTGCTACAGTGCGTGTTTTGTTGCACTTCTTATGCCAGGGCTCTCCTGTGTACAACTGGCTTCCCTTCCCCTTTCTCATTGTATTCATGCCTTCATGATCTAGTCTTTCTCAGTAGGAAAGCAACATGAACTGTTTAGAAAAGGAAAAAGAACAAGCCAATGAGGTGGATTAGGCTGAGAGTGTGTGTCCATACCAAGTTCACCCAGCACATTTCCTTTGTAGACTGGGGATTTTGAACCTAGACTTCCTAGATAGTTCACTGATTCTGACCACTATATATTGCCATCTCTCTGTTCTTTCACTGCCTCATAGGAGTTGTCATTATTTCTCTGGGGAACACTATAGTTTTATAGACAAACACATAGTCCTCAGTCTGTGTCAGGATGCCTTCTCATGTTCTTAACCAGCACATGAAGCAATTTAGCTACAAAAGCTCACAATGCCCAGCCATTTCATGTTTTTGTCTGAGTCCTAGACTCAGAGCATTGAGCATGAAATTTCTGTAATGAATTTAAGTAAATAAAAAATAGGTTTGCAGCTTACAGATACACACCTGAATAGCATACTCAAGATTGGTACAGCACAGACATTTTGATGCAGTATTTCAGAGCAAGAGATTGTTAAATAAACAAAATATTGCAAGAGTGCTAATGTTTTAAGCATGTTTTATTTAAAGTTTTAAAAAATCTTTGTGTTTGTGTCCTTTATAAAATTTATATCTCCACTACCTGGCATTACATTTTATGACACACATGGCCCGGCCTAGCAAGGTCTCATTTATGTCAGATCTGGTCCTCATAACAAATGCGTTTGACACCCTTGTTCTAGAGAGATAAAACCCTACTTAAGCAAAGGAAAAATCAATGCATCTCTCAAATCTGAAAATTCAGTGCAGTCCAAAAAAAATGTGATCTATAGAGTAAATTCATGTAGTATCACATCCACAGAATCTATTAGCGTATGGAATATCATTAAACTTTCCTAACAACACAGCTTGTGGCAAGGCATTCAAATGTGCAAGCATAAATGCCCTTCCAGAGGGCCACTCGCTATCTATGTCTCCAGCTCTCACTGAACTAGAGATTTTGGATGGAGAAAAGCAACTGTAAGGGAGCATCACTCAGTTTAACAGGAAGTGAGCAGGTGCTGCATGATCAAGGCAGCAATCTCAAGCACTGGTAAAACAAAAAAACAGGAATATTGTCTTCCAAGTACTCTCTTGTATTGGAGATTGATCTCAGTGCCTTCTCCCTATTTGCATCCAGTAGTTCCTTTGGTTTAGTGATACTAGCTAGGGGTGTGCCAAGAAAGGGGGGGGGAATCAGTATTTTTTGCTTTTAGGTACATTAAGCCCCCAAAATATTGGTATTCTTGATAGTCCTGAATTCCAAATACTGGTATTGGTGTAGTGGTTAAGAGCAGCGAATCCTAATCTGGAGAACCGGGTTTGATTCCCCACTCCTCCACGGGCAGCCAGCTGGGCGACCTTGGGCCAGTTTTCGTTCTCTCAGAGCTGTTCTCTCAAGAGCAGTTCTCTCAGAGCTCTCTCAGCCCCACCTGCCTCACAAGGTGTCTGTTGTGGGGAGGCCCATAGCGACGTGAGCCCCTTGGGGTGACGCCCCCTCCCAAATGTGCCCTGAGCCAGAAGGCCCCACCCACAGGGAATTTCTGGGCCTTCCTGCCCTTCTTCCCAGTGGCACTAGGCTCAAATGCCTGCTCCCAGCTGCCCATGACTCAGGCCTCCCCGTGGCTCTTCTAGTGTTCTGCGCAAAGAGCCATGGCTGCTGCTGGCAGGTGAACAAAGTGGGCTGCAGCAGCCGGGAGGTGCACACCCTTGCAAGGTAGGCTGGAGAGGGACAGGGGATCCATTTGGGGTCAACCCCCCCCCAGCTGCTCCTTCCAGTGGCTGACTCCATCGTTGTCCGTCCGCCTCCTGTGCACGTAATGTGGAGGCACTGACAGTAGAGGCAAGGTGAGTAGCAGCAGCCATCCTGGGATGCTGCTCTGCATGCCGAAGAAGGGGCACGGTGAGTGTCCTGGTGCCCCCCTTCCTCAATGCTGAGCTGGTCCCCCCTCTGCTCAGCAGCTGGGCCAGGAGATCTCCCTATTGGGCCCTCGGCTCTCCTCTTCCGCCTCGTGGACTGCCTCTCGGGCTCTGCGTCTCGCTTGCCTCCCCCCCTTTTGCCGAGGACCAGTAATCTAATTAAGCAGCAATCTAATTAAGTTGTAATCTAATCAGCTGTGATCTAATTAAGTTGTGGGCAGTTATTGCCCTCTTTTTGCCGTCTCCCCCCCCCCCCCCAAAATTGGCTATGGCGTGTCCCTGGCGTGCCAGGATTGTATCCATAGTGGCTGAGTTTCTAGTTTAAATGAGACACCAGGTTTGCTTCATGTTGCACAGGTAAGTTTTTCTTCTCATCAAACATCACATGTAAATTGGGATACTCTCACAGGCACACACACTTCACTCCTTTTTATCCGTCCATCTCCATCTCATCTGCCATATATTTATGTCATACATCAATCTATTCCTTGGTGCCAAGATGTTAGCAAATATATTTCCCATATTTCTGTGAAAGAAAGTACACAAGGGAAGCTTAAACATATATTAATTTCTTGCTGGTTCAAAATGTAGAGATGCTAGGTCCAAGTCTATGAGGTTTATATATCATCACCCAGAGCAAAAAGTTATTTTTCTTGTTATTCTGCTAGATCCCCTTAAGATTATTATATCTCAGTACAGTATTCGTCAGTGTAAACTGAATGTTGGGCATTCAAGCAATATGTTTGCAAACTCCTATTTCCCTCTTTATAAAGAGCCTAGGCTGAGACCAGTGCTCACTCTCATTATGAGAGGGGAGCGGTGGCACAGTGGGTATATCCCACTGTCTTAACATTGTGGGTATATCCCACTGTGGGTATATCCCACTGTCTTAACATCCAAACTGTGTCAGTTCGAGCCCCGTGCTGGTGTGAGCAGCCAGCCTGTTGTCCCCAGCTCATTGTCCACCCAGCGATTCGAAAGCCTCGGCAAGTAGATAAAATGGGAACCACTCCTTAGAGAGGGTGGGCACACCAACTCCCCTGTGGGAAGGTTTTAGCTGTCGGTTGGGACATCCTGCTCCAGGGTCGGAAGGCGGAAGAAACTACTCGGCTACAAAAAATCCCTGCAGTGGGATGCTCCGACCAGGCGGTGGCAGTGTGGCAGTACGACATACGGGTCCTGAAGCCCCAACGTCATCAAGCTGGTCGACGCAGCTGTTCGGGACATGACTGATCCAAGCCAGAATTAATAAATCGAAAGTATTATTATTATTATTATTATTATTATTATTATTATTATTATTATTATTATTATTATTATTATTATTACAACAAAGAAGAGATTGGATTTATAACCCACTCTTCACTGCCGAAAGGAGTCTCAGAGCAGTTTACAATCCCTTCCCCTCCCCACAACAGACACCCTTGTGAGGTAGGTGGGCCTGAGAGAGCTCTTTCAAGAACTGCCCTTGAGAGCACAGCTCTGAAAGAATTTATGACTGAATCAAGGTCACACCACCATCTGCATGTGGAGGAGTGGGGAATCGAACCCCGTTCACCCAGATTAGAGTCTGTGTTCTTAACCACTACACCGAACTGGCTTAAGAACAATATGGCTCTCTTAAGAACTTGGTCTTAAAGGTGCCACTGGACTGTTTTCGACTGGGGGGCCGGGGGGAGCTTTGCAGCTTACCTGGATGCTTCTTGCTCTGACTGAGGGCTGCTGGGAGCAGGGGGTGGGGCTTGTTGCATGTGCCTGCCCCCTGGGCTCTTTACTGCCGGAGCTCCGCTCCTGTGTTCCCCTGCAGGAAATGACCCCTGGCTGTCGCCATGGTAATCAAACTCTGGGTAGCAGGAGACACAGAGGCAAGGCCTGAGAACTTGGAAGGGAAGCTGGGAGTCCTGAGTCTCCCAGTGGCAACTCCTACAAAGGTCAGACGGTGGTGATTGAACAGAGAGAGAGAGAGAAGCCCTTCCAAACCTAGGGGAAAACCTAGAAGGTCAGGGTAGAACAGGGCCTGCAGGCCAGAGCAGGACCATTCCACCACATTTACTACCTTGCCGTGTTGTTTTGAAAATAAAATGGGGTACACCTCAAGGATACCACCCCTGGGGAAAGGATGGGATACAAAGGTGTATAACACATTTTTTAGTCCAGTGGCACCGTTAATCAAGAATAAACTTTTGCTGGTGTTAAAGGTGCCACTGGACTCACAGATCGTTCTGCTGCTTCACACCAACACAGTTGCCCACCTGGAGACAAATGTATGTTTAGGTTCATAATCAATCAATCCAGAAAAAATCCACTGAACAAATGGAAAACTGTGTAGTGATTGCGCTTAAGAAGGTTTTTTTTAACAACAATTATATAACCATAGTACAAAAACTTTAGGAGGTGTGGTGGCTCAAGTGGTTAAGACGCTGAACTGCAGGCTGTGGAAGGTCAGTAGTTCAGCAGTTCGAGACCCGGGTTGCTCCCGTCTCTAGTTCCAGCTCCTGCCAACCTAGCAGTTCGAAAACAAGACATTGCAAGTAGATAAATAGGGACCACTTCAGTGGGAAGGGAACAGCGTTCCGTGCGCCTTGGTGTTTAGCCATGCCGGCCACATGACCACGGAAATGTCTTCGGACAGTGCTGGCTCTTCGGCTTTGAAACGGAGATGAGCACCGCAACCCTAGAGTCGGACTTGACTGGCTTTCGAGCAAGGGAACCTTTACCTTTACCTTTTACAAAAACTTTTCCTTATTCTTTATAACAATATTCTTATTTAAGGGTACAGTTACCAAGGATTCTTATTTAGCATTGTTATTGTGTTTATTTGATAAGACTCTTCATCTATCTTCATCTTCGTTCAGAAGAAGAAACTTGTCGAAACGGAAGAATATTCCGCAGATCATCGTTAACAACAAACAACATTTCTATCACATTGTTACATCGTTCATGTTATTTTGTAATCACTTTTTGTACTATGATTATATAATTGTTGTTTTAAAAATACTTCTTAAGCGCAATTACTACACAGTTTTCCATTTGTTCAGTTGATTTTTTTCTGGATCAATTAGTAACTGTGACCATCATTTTGAGCTAGTGGGTTCATAATCAAACAAAGTGAAAAGTGCGTAAAAATTGCTTCCATTGGGGGAAGAGATTTGAGAAGACAAAGGCCTAGTAGTAGTACAGAATGTGATCTCATGGGAATGCATGCAGCGTAGCAATAGATGTGGTGGCTCTCAGTAATGGTTTCAGTGTGTCATGGTTCACAGTAACAGATTTAGATTCTTTAATGTGTTTTATCTGTTTTGCGATCTTTATGAGCTGTGTTTTCTTACATGAGTTGGTTCAAATTGCTTTAGGGGTTAGAACCAGGTGCCCACCTATGACTAACCTGAATTACGATTTAATTACAGCCACTTTGATCGCTGCTGAACATGTTAAAACTGAACTGGAAAATATAATTGAGTCCATGAAATCACTGAAGCCAAAAGCAGGGCTCACGTATTACTAGGATATTTACAATCTAACTCGTATGGGTGATCCTAAAGGAAATAAATGGGGGGGAAATAAGCAAAGATTTTTTTAAAAAAGCAACAAATATTAGAAGAAAAATATAGAATTGGTTGTGAAAGAACTCACCAAAAAGATGTCAAGGGGGAGAACTAAGGAGATAACATTTCAGGAGACTTGTTCACTCTGGGGGCCATGGAGCTTGGCAAGTCATGTGATTTGTCATATGATACACTGTTTGGGTTGGGTCTGGATGATGTGAGGGGAGGCAAAAGGGGGAGGCAAAAGACGTCTTCGTCTGGAGTACTGTAAGGGCTATTGAAAGCCCTGCTTGGGAACGCCTGAAATTTCAAAATGTTCTTCATTCCAGAGATTTTCACAATATAAAGCACTTGCGTTAAAGCTATTAAATTTGAATCAAAATGCTATATTACATGTACATAAATGTTTAAAGACCAGTTTTCCCTGTATTAATATGGCAGCTGCCTCTTCCCCCAGAGAACTGATTTCTTTATCAATTGCCTTTGTCTACCACTGCTGCAAATTGGTTAGCACAAGTTTCCTTTTCATTCTCCAAACAGCTCTTGGCCAAAAAGGAATCATTTGTGTTATTGTTATATGATGTGTATGTTTTGGTTCTCCAGGCAACAGAATGGGGGTCAGATGAAGACACAAGGAGATCTTGTCAGAGTAAAGGAAAAACTGAGGTAAGATTCCCACCAACTTCATTCTGGCAACCAAAAAAAAACATAGGTAAATTTCTGATTTTTGTATTACTTTGAATTGACGTGAAGAAATAGTTCACAGTTCAAAATGTGTAAGTGCTACTGTAACAGATACAGGAAAGACATAGAACATTTGTACTTTTCCACGGCCCATCATATGTGCACTTTGTGGATTTGTTTATATTTGGAGACGATATAACTCCTTGCTAACCAAAGAGATGTTTTATGTTATAGCAAAGTGTGTTGAAGTCAGATTTATTTATATTATTTAGCATCAAGTTTTTAAATCTTAGGCACATACTTTGTGGACTGTATCTGGAGAATTGCACTTCTTTACCCGGGTTGTATGATCAGCCATTGGCTGTCTCCCTCCCCAACAGCCAGGCTGGTTTCACTGGGACCGCCCAACATCTGCTCAGAAGGGCTACTGGCGTGATTCTGCTGACCTGGATAGCTTCCAAACTGGTCAGCCAGCCAACCCACAGCCTTCTGAACCCTGGAATTTGGAGATGCTCTAGAGGCCTATGCAGGGCTATTTTTGGGCAGGAACGCACAGGAACGGAGTTCCGGCTGGCTCCTGAGTTGGCCACGCCCAGCACGAACTCATTAGCATAATAGGCCACACCCAATGGCAGAAACTCATTAGGATTGGCTACATTAGGGGTGTGTGGCCTAACATGCAAAGACATGACAACAAACAAGGTAAACAGAATAAGAAGCAAAAGGTGGGTGTGGCTGGATGAGCACACTTCTGGAAACGAGGGCTGTGTGGCCTAATATGCTAATGAGCTGTGCTGTCAGGGGTGTGGCCTAATATGCAAATGATTTTATGTTGGGTGTGGCCTATTATGCTGATGAGCCCTGGGCCTATGAATCATTGCAGAGGAGTCTGTGCTGTGTTCCCATTTGAGTGCTAAGTCTGAGGAGAGTTGGTTGTGTTCTCTCTCTGTGCATTTTCCTTCTTGTATGTCCTGACCTGGATAGCCCAAGCTAGCCCAGTTTTATCAGATCTCAGAAGCTGGGTTGGGAACTACCTGGAGATTTTGGAGGTGGAGCCGGGAGAGGGAGGGCGGGTTTGGGAAGTCAAATGAACGACATAAAATCAAATGAACCAGAGTCCTTCGGGTGGATCCAATGCCATGTTTTCACAGGGGTAAGGACTACCACCCATGGAGTGCAAATTTCCCTCTCCCGACAGCCTGAAATAGCTGCTGGGTCCCTGAGTTTCCCTGTCCCCTAAGAGCCAGATTTGGGGGTACATTTTAGGTTGCATGTTTACTTAAATACACTTGAGGGGTAAACACTTTTTAACTTAGGACCAAACGCGTTTCGGCCCCTGGGCCATAAATATAGCCATGCCAATTCTTCAGATTATTCTGGTATCAGAGATTTCATTGGTCTGGATGTGTGTCACTTCCATCAAAGGTAATCTTTGATACCAGAATAATTTGAAGAATTGGCATGGCTGTATTTATGGCCCAACATATAAGCTAGTAGCATAACTAAAACCAAGGAAACAACATCTGGTTTATATATATATATATATATATATATATATATATATATATATACACACACACACACACACACACACACACACACACCTCTTTTATATGTGTATTTTGGATGTGTGTCAGTGCAATATAAAGAATAGTGACCACTGAGGAAGGCCCGAAGGGGCCGAAACGCGTTTGGTCCAAAGTTAAAAAGTGTTTACCCATCAAGTGTATTTGTATTAGTAAAGCTTTTAAAAGTCTGAAATTTAGACTCTTTCTTTTAATCATAGTATGTTTTAACATGTGTACACCTTAATAAACATTTGCATTTTTAATATCATATAGTGTTAGCTTGACCCTCTTGGTTCGCAGATATATCTTGGGTTGTGTCCCCGCCCCCCTTTTTTCAGTTTTTGCATGGGTAGAAGTCCTTGTGCCCTCAGAAATGCAGTCTTGGATCCACCCCCTTATCCCTAAGTACAGCTATGACAAGAGACAGGTTGTCATTATTTGGTGGTGAGCAAAAAACACTGCACATGCCTCGGGGCATTCTTTTGCACCTAGTCATTTCACAGACTGCAAGCCCAAGTCCTGGGCTGAAGCACAAGTTTTAGAGCACCTGTCTGATGAGCTGTGGCTCATGCTTTGAAGAACAAAACAAACAAACAAAAAGAGTCTAATTGCCATGCTGGCTGTATTCTCATAGGGAAAATGAGCTGCACTTGCAAGTGACCCAGTGGCAAACAGTGTCCAACACCTTGTCTTGTTCAGTTTGTTCTCTGAGGATATTATTCACAGACACATTGCTCGCTGACACTAAGACCAGGCTGCACCCTGGCATCTAGTAGTAAGCAATTAAGAAAAACATTTCTAAGGCCCCGGTCACATGGGCCAGATAACGCGGGGGGAGGCGTGGCTTTTTGCGCCAGCACAATTTAACGCACCAAAACGTGATCAGACGCGGCGGCAGCAAATCGGGGTTTTGTTTGTCGGCGCATGTTTCCGGCGCGGGTCAACACACCGCAAGGAGCGTGCTTGAGCGATCACACGTAGGTATTCCATCGACAGCCCGTAGCAAACGGTTTGCTAGTAGGCTTTCCCGGGTATTTTTTAACTCCGGATCTTCGGGCAGATGCTACGGGTCGGCGAAGGGTGTGCTACGCCTGCCAGATGTGTCCTTGTGATCGCGCCCGTATACTCCGCCTGACATTCGTGCCTCTCCCGCGGCAAATCCTCCGTGTGACCAGGGCCTTAGTCACATTGCCAGACTGGATGATTGGAAAATTGACTTGCAAATCAGTTCTAAAGATTTCTTTGTCATGAACAAGGAGCCCTCTCATCTGAAGGGGGTGAAGCTTCGGAAGTGACATCACTTGCCCTTGGGCCTGGAAGTGACATCACAGGACATGCATCACAAAAGTCTCCTGGCTCCATCCCCCAAAGTCCTTAGATATTTCCCAAGTCGGACCTGGCAACCCGACTGCCTTAGGGTCCATAGCTCAGTGGTAGAGCATCTGCTTGGCATGCAGAAGGTCTCAGGTTTAATCCCCAGCATCTCCAGTTAGGAGAACCAGCCAGTAAGTGATGTGAAAGACCTCTCCCTGAGACCCTGGAGAGCAGCTGCTACTCAGAGCAGACAATACTGACTTTGATAGCCAAGGGTCTGGTTCTGTTTAAGGCAGCTTCATATACCTGAAGCAGACCATTGGCTCCATCTAAACTGATCTGGTGGTTATAAACACTCTAGGTTAGACCAGAGTGTGTTACAGACAACAGCCGCACGCTAGTCTTGGCCATGTGGTTTCCTAGGTTTCCTTCAGCTTACCTTCCAACATCTTTGCTTGCTTGTTGGCCCTCTCAGTTTGCCAGCATGCCCTGCCGTCCGGTTCTGCCATTTCCTTATTCTAGTCCCTTGTCCTTTCATCGGCTTTGCTGCATGCCTGCCATCAGCTCTGCTTCTGTGTTAACCCTCTGTGCTGCCTTGATGTAGAAAAGTATCCTGTGCTTTGCCGAGGACTTCCAGAGCCGTGTGCCATCCTAGTCCTCCACCATCCATCCTAATCCTATTATGCCTTGTACCTTCCGTCCTCCATTTCATCAGCTGTTTATGGCTTAGCACTAATGCCTACAGCATAAATGCCATGGTTCAATGTGACTCTACTGCTTCATCCCTTTTCCACTGACCTGGCTGGTGCCAGCTGCACGAAAGCAAGCCTAAGCCAGTATGCGTGCATTTTGTGTTTGTTGTGTTTAAAGCTGTGATTTGCTTTTTGTCTGGTAAAATTCTCTTGGGCAGAGCTTGAGAAATCGGCCATAGCTCAGAAAGACGAGGGGTCTGCACTTGTCCCATACGCTTTGAGCCTCTTTTCCTTGTTCTTCCATAAAGAAATGCATTACAAGTTAACTCTGTTTTCTCCCCTCCCACAATGGTTTGGAATAAAAAAAAAATCTTGAAGACATTAAAAGCAAACAACAGACAGAAAATCATTAGTAAATCCTGTTTGGTATCTTCTGCACGGCAAAAGAAAAAGAGCTTGGCTGGGATGCTGGGCGAAACTGATTAATGAAATTGTTTGTCTAAAGAAATAAATATAAATATCCAAGAGCGTGTTAATAACGCGGCTTTGCAGCCTGCAAGGTGTTCAAAGGAAATTAAGACAGACAGCAGCAAATGCATTTAAATTGTCTTCGTGCACTGCTGAATGAAATTTCTTTGAAGAGGTAGAGCAGACTCCCAGCTATGGGAGACAAGCCGGTTTTCTTAGGGTCCTACTGGGAAACCACTGAGTGTGACTATACCTGACCTGTAATCAGGGCTATTTTTGGGCAGGAACGCACAGGAACGGAGTTCCGGCTGGCTTCAGAGTTGGCCACGCTCACTACAGCCAAAACCTCTACAGAGGGAAGGCCTGGAGAGTGACCCCCCTGGCAACTCCAAGGTGCACAGGCCGGGGGCCCCCTGGAAGGATTGGGGAGGCATTTAAATGCTTCCCTGTGCCTGTCCAAGGGCCAGCTTACCTGGGCTCCCCGCAGCCATGGGGCACCTGGGCAAGCCAAGGGAAGGCAGTTTAAACTGCCTTCCCTTCCCTTCAAGGGGTGGCTTGCCGGGGCTCTCTGCAACCTTGGGGTGCCCGGGCAATCCAAGGGAAGGCATGGGGGTGTGGCCTAACATGCTAACGAGCTGTCCTGAGAGGGGTGTGGCCTAATATGCTAATGAGTTTCTGATGTTGGTTGTGGCCTATTATGCTAATGAGTTCCTGCTGGCCTTTTTCTGCCAAAAAAGCCCAGCCTGTAATATACTGTGGGTGACAGAGAGCCAATTGAAAATAATCATGTCACCTGCTAAGGGAGGACTGTGAACAGAGGTTTCTGTTCTTCAAGGTGGTGTTCATAAAATGGAAGAGGACAGTTGTGCGCCTGTGTTACACACAGTTACAGCTAAGGTCTGCTCTAAATATAGCACTGATTGGCACAAAGAACTACTTG